TCTTCTTCTTCTTCTTCTTCTTCTTCTTCTTCTTCTTCTTCTTCTTCCTCTCCCTCTCCCTCCCTCTCCCTCTCCTTCTCCTTCTCCTTCTCCTTCCCCCCTAAAGCCTTTATTAAACCTGTTCTTTGATAATTTCAAACACTCTGAATGCTGTCTTCTCCATATACTGAGAATTCTTACAAGGAAAGCCTTGTAAACAAACCAATAGGAAAAGGAGCATAAGGTATTGAATGAAACTGAGGACATAGCTGTTCCTAGGCCTGGTTGAGGAGAAGTTTTTTATTGTCAACATGAGGGAGAGAATATCCAGATGCATCTGGAAGCATCCAGAGCAAAGAGAGAAAGTAGCAGATTGAACATGGATAGCAGAATAGGCCAGGCCATGAGGATGGTGGGGTTCAAGCAAGACAGGAAGAGAAGAGTGGGCTAAGAGGACCCATTGTGAGGGAGGAACCAAGATAGGGCATGGACAAAATGGCAGGGTTATATAGGAATCAGAAGGAGAGGGTAAGGAGAGGGGGCTGGAGTGAGGAGAGCAGAGAGGAGCTGCAGGTGCTGAGTGTGACTGTGCTCTGTGATATGCTGATAGACACCCCAGGTAGCCTTTGGTCCTGGGTTTCTTTGGGACTTGACAGGTATCGATAGACTTTGAAAACAGAATGAATACAATCATGGGCATGAGCTGCATTTCACTTAGAGATGGTTAAAAATAGGAGAAAAATGGCACCTGTCAGAAAATCAGAGCAATGCTATATAGACACTAGCACACTATTGAAAATAAAAGTCAGTTTCACCTCTTCAGAGGACAATTAGACCTTCATGGGACAGGCAATTTCATTATGCCCAAATATGGCTCATTCCTGCTGTACAGCCTGGTTTTAGGCTGTAAGGTTTACAGACATTTAGGATTTCGCTGGTAAGGACTGCTAACACAAGAGACAAACATGTCCTCGGATGATCACATGCTGTCCTCTCCAGCTAGAGGATTCTTCTTCATGGCTAGCCAGCTGATATCGACTTTGTGGGGATGCCGGCGTGAAGGAACTCAACCTTCGCTTGAACCTTATGCTTCTCTGAGCTGAAATACAGGAACTGAAATAAATCCAGTTTCACCATCTTCCCTGTCAGTGCTCAAGTTCCCTCTTAGGAAGGCAAATGACTCTGCATTCTTCAAGATCTCTTGTTTTGATCGCTTGGTTCCACTCACTTCCCTCAAAATATCAGAACTGGAGCTGGCCCATTCTTTTTGGAGAGTGAGGCTCCTGGACATGGTGTGTCTTCCTGCTGAGGCTGACTGAAGTAAAACCTGGGGAAGGGAAGCTTGGCCAGAAAGGAAATCCTGTGAGGCTTCTCAACACCTCTAGCACTCTAGTCTGTACAGAAAGAACATATTTTAGTGCTACAGTAAGAGAATGTGTCTACCTGGATTAGGGCCACATCCCACAGCTTTCCAAGAAGCATGGCCATCTGTATTTGGGCTAAGAGTTGCAGTTGTGTCCTGCGTGATGTTTCTTGAGCTGAGGAATGAAGAAGGGCTGCCATGTAGCCTACACTTGGCTGGCCATGGCATGCATTCATTCAAGTAAGGGGTAACGTATACCCTAAAGATGCCATTCCTAAGTTACTTAAGGTACTGTAGCTGCCGGGAAGCAGTGGCGCACGCCTTTAATCCTAACACTTGGAAGACAGAGGCAGGCAGATTTCTGAGTTTGAGGCCAGCCTGGTCTACAGAGCGAGTTCCAGGACAGCCAGGGCTACACAGAGAAACCCTGTCTCGAAAAAAAAAAAAAAAGTATTGTAGCAACTGCTGAAGCCCTCACATCAGGGTTCCTTACACATGTTGAATCTTCAAAAAACATGTAGCTGGTATGCCATGGTGTGTTAGAGGTATTCACAATATTGATTGATTTCTTCCCATAGCTGTTGGACAGTGATGTTACATATTGACATAAGAATCTTCCATCCATCTTCAGTCTTCTATAGACATGAACAACCTTCATGATTTCATCCTTTGTGTCAAAAATCAACTTTTATATGTCCTGTGAAGTGAAAATTTTTCAAAGGACTTGATGAGTTAGGGAGTGTTTATAAGCTCACATGGTACAAGGTATGCCCAGCAACAGAAGGTTTCCTGCTCTGCTTTTAGATGGAATGTGGTGATTTGCAATGTTCCAGTAAAGGGGTAGACAGACAAGGCCTAGGTCTTCAGGACACCTGCCCTCACAGTGGTTGTAGCTCAGTTTCCAGAGGGAATACACTGCATGCTCACCTTGACAACAATTTCATTATCCAAAGTCTTGGGCAGTCTTTCCTCCTTCATGTTGGTTTTCCCCGTCTGTGTAAGAGAAGGAAATATGAAGACATGTCAGCTGAAAGGAGCAGCTGGGGAATGTTGGTATAAAAGGAGTCAGGAAAATGGCATGGGTGATGTCTTAGATTTCTCTTGTGCTTGGAGACATGTGAGGTAGAAAGGCCATTTCTTGATGAGTCTTTTACCTCTGCTCAGCAACCCCATTTGGGAGCTCTAGGGTACTTCTTAGCCCAGAAGAGATAAGTAAAAAGGTTAAGAGTGTTCAAAATTGGTTTTGATTGTTAGACTTCAAGCAACATCCAGGATGCAGTATTTGTTTCTAGTTCAGCCTGAGCTCTTTCTGTTTCCCAACAATTCCATTCTCACCTCCTCATAGAGTCAAATGACTGCTGAGGACTTGTCACTACTAGTGCCTCACATAATCTAGTACACAGGATGCTACAAAGTTCCCATTGGTTTGAGGAGACTTGAGCTTTCAATTAAATACTGATGGATGGAATACAGCAGGTGGGTAAAACACATGGGAAGAGAGAGCATAAAAGTCCACACAGGATTTACCTTCTCAGAAAGCTGCACTGAGGAATAAATGGTGGTCACAGACTCTTCCTTACAGGACAGCATCTGGAAAAGAGATTCTTTCTCCTCAGTGAGAGTACAGAAGACAAAAATTAGAAAAAAATAGAAAGATCTCTCTTTCTAATTCTGTTCTCTCCATCACCCACTCCTGATACAAATTTACTATGTTGCCTTTTTTTTCAGGTATCAGCACTTTTTCCATCCAACTCTGGATTAGGTTAAGGTAATGATAAAGACAAATGCGTGGTAGTTGGACACAGCCTTGTGGCAAAAGGACTCTAGGAACTAAGAGAAGGTTCTATGTAGTTTAGACTGAGTCTTGCTCAGTTGGGAGTTTAGTTTTTTGTGATTTGTGTGAATCTCTAACAACATCCCCATTAGTTCAAGTACAGTGTCAGAGTAACTGGAAAACCCTAAGTGTCTCCTTTCAGTCTTTGCAGACTCCAAGGAAGCAGGCTGTGTAGATACAAGATGATCTTTGTTGCACATGAGCCAGAGGAAAGCAGACAAAAGGCAGAAGGTGTGGGACAGAGTGGTTAAGAGTCTGAGAAAATGAGTTGCTGCTAGACCAGCTAGTGTAGTTCAAGGCTGTCCATCTTTCCTTCTGTGTCCTTGGAACAACCTGAGGAATGGTTTTGCCCAGTTGACATTTTTCATCTCACAACAAGGACTCTTTCATTGTTTGATCTCTCCAGAGAGCTCTTCTTCAACACAAACTACTTCTAACCCACAGCTAGTCCTGCATGTGAAGCTCCTTATACCATGGACACTGTCATGAGGAGACAGTACACTATGTTTTGTTTTCATGGGGATCATTTCCTTAGCATGGTGTTAGTTTGTTGGTCTATCCAAATTTTTGGCTGTAGCTTCTTTCTATACAATGGCCAACAGAGGGCAATTGTTGCCCGAGACTTCTATTCTAGTGGTCCTAGTGGTAGGGTGTATTTATGAATAGCATCAGCTTACCTTGGACTGAGGGATTTCATCATAGATTCTGGGCTCTGTGAGATGAGTATTTCTTGAAACTACAGAGTATATTGTTCCCTTTGAGACACCATCTGCTACAAATAAACATATAACCATAGTCTGTGAAAGGTAGATGGTTTTTTAGAGACTACCTAGTCATACTTTGTCTTTCTGTGATAAAGAAATAAAGTCTACAGGTTAAATGGCCCCTACTCTATAGAAAAGGATGTTTGTATACTCAGGTACCCTTTCCATCCCAAGGATTACACATGCGATAGGGAACATCTTATTCAAATCTCACCTAAAACACATTGGGAATTCTTTTTTATTTCTGAGGCCAAGTTTAGCCTATAGACAATCTTCCTAGCCCTGTATGAAATTCAAAGATTGCTCCTGCATTTTGATTTTGCATGGTTAATAGACTTTCTATGTCAGGGTCTCAGTTGCTTAATTTGACTGATTCTAATTATACTTGGGGCTTTACTATTGTAGTGTATACCTGACTATAACCATAAACATTCATGAAACAGTTAAGTATTTATTAAGCTCCTACTTTGTGCCAGGCTCCATAGGAGGTTCCAGGAAAACAAAGAAAGGATATATAGATCCTTGTTTTACATTTTTTTTGAGCTAAATGAGGCATTAATCTTAACACATGGTTTTTCTTTAGTATTAACACAATGTTTTAGGGTCAAGTTGAAAAGCAATAGCCAGAATTTTGTGCTTTCTTATTACAGGACATAAAACCATCTACAAATAATGGATCTAATCCAAGATTATCATAGACTTTAGCATTTCAGAGCTATTCTTGTCTAAGTCTCTACCCCAGACTTGGCAAGGGACCCAAAGTGCTCTCAATTTCATTTGTGGTTTCATAGACTAGTGTGTCTCCATCTCTCAGTCTCTGTCTCTCTTTCTATCTCACTCTGTCTCTGTTTCTCCATTTTACTGGTTTACTTGTGAGAGAAAGAGAGATGTTTTCTTGAATGAACTTGGAGATCATACCTGAGGGACTATGATATTTTCCATTTGTGAGTCCAATTGAGTTATGATGCATGTCATAAACCCTTTCTCATAGAATGCCACCATCAATACCATACTGAGGCCTGCAAAGTTTACACACAGGAGCTAACATTTACCTAGTACCATGTACCAGGCTTGTTACTGCATATGAGTAATAACTTAATAACTATATGCATTAAGCCTTAGTATAATGGAAGTCTTACAGCTGAGAAAAAATGGAATCTTACAGTGCTAAACTAACTGGCCAAATAACAATCAAGACTGAATTTCATATCTACATGTATTGTGCCACAGCAATGAGAAAAGTAACAAATACACCAAGGGTATAGTTTTGTAGGATGTGAAGAGAGTGGAAAGAGAACAGGTCACCCTATATTTTGTAAGAATAAAGGGCTGCCTCACTCAATCTTGAAGTGTAGTGCAGTTGGCAGCAGCAGCTTGTCCAGGGTGAATCTGCAAATATAGTGAGGTCACCCTCTTTCCTCTCCTCTCTCATTCCTGTTCCTCATCTAATCATTGCTGCTGCTCTGCAGAGCAGTTGAAAGCAGAGTGAGTGGTCAATGTTGGTTTTGCCTATGATTTTTTGGCCCCTGGCAATACTTTCTGATCTAAGAGAACCATAGGTTACCTAGTTTTATCCTAGATGTAGAGTCCCTTCTTTTCCCTTATGACCAATCCACAGTAAGTTTGGGATTGTAAAATTTACTTTCAATGTTGGTTTGGCTTCACCAGCTGGATAGGTTTGACTCTTGAGTGAAACTGGATTTAACTGTCATGTATCTGGAGAGTTTCTGTGCCCTTATATTTTGCTTGTAAATTTAGCCATTCTAAGACTGAGCCACCATCTCTCCAGCCTGAGAGTCTCTATTCTCAATCAACACCTTTTCTCACAAACATATCTTCATTCAGCCAGTGCAGTGTCATCAAGTCTTGCCTTTGATACAAGAGTTCTGATGCATTCTAGGTAAAAACTTCACCTCTCATAGGATGGATGTGATGGGTCTCATGTCCACTATTCCCTCTGACTTAGCCCTGGCATGTATTCTGAAGAAGTGGTACAAATTTGAATTCCAAATTATCAAAAGGAATATAGCCCGTAGTTTTACTTTGTGGTAAAACTTGACCCTATATCTATTCCCAGATCAAGAACATTAATCATCTCATGAGCACACTGAGCTATAAACTGAGTCTTACAACTATGTCTTTTTTTGCCATAATTTAGGTAAGGACACTGATCTTTTACATTTAAACCTTTATGGCCTCATCACAGTACCTCAAGCTACAACAGGGATGTTGTATGTGCTTTCCTAGTTTATTTCAAAGTAGCCTATTTTCTCTAATCTCAACCATTTACTATTCTAGATGTGGTGGGACCTGGGAGAATGGAGCCTAAAAATGAAGCAGACCACAGCTTCATCCCATTGCCAACTTTATTCAGAGCATCAGACAAGTTATACTCTGAGGATTAAGTAGAGTCAATTGCGTAAAGTGTACAGCGACAAGGACAAGCCACATGTGGCAAAACACGTTGTTTTCATAGAGACATGTAAACAAATAACAATAGTCAGTTGTAATGAATAAGCTAGTAAACTCAGTCCCATCTGATACATCTGGGAGGAGAACAAAAGCACATTCCAAGAACAATTCCATGTTTTGAAGAAACTGAGGCCAAAAGACAATTGTCTTGTTTTCTTGGAATTTTCTCACAAGCACTGAGAATTCTCCTCACACAACCCCATTCTTGGACTGTGTTCCAACACTCAGTCTTTGATCATCAC